CAGCGAAAGAGGAGGCAGAAAGGGCTCTGCAGATGGGAGCTCAGATTGCCGAGTGTCACCAGTGGTATGTAATTATTTGTTTTGTAAAGAAGAGGGTTATTTGTCAAACTTGAGCAACCGCACAAGTTCTTCAGTGTATGCATTTAAAATCGTCCTCTTTCCACAAATAGTAATTTAGCTGGTAAGAGAGCTTGTGCCTGTTGGTTACAGTTAATCAAAATCCCACTTCCCCGTCTATTAAGTTCACACTGATCCACTACAATTGCCCTAAAGGACTGAAAAAATTATAATGTTTCCGTTGCCTCAGAAATGTGATTGTCTTGCTTGAGTTTTCCTCTAGAAAGATACTGTTCTTTCCAAGAAATGTAAATGATATTATACATACGTCCTGGAAAAAATTGTACCTGCAACAAAAGTACTATGATGCGAGAAGGATCAGTAAAAAGATGTAGTTTCTTGGGGGCGGGGAGGCTTTCTTCAATCCTCTTTTTGTTGTTGTTGTTCAGTCGCAAAGTCGAGTCCGACTCTTCGCGACCCCAACCTCTAGAATGCCAATAATTTGCAATTCAGGTGCAATACAACTGTGGTTTTAAAATATTACTGAGATTGACATACTACAAAAGGCTGCTGCTGGTATCAGCTGGAGCTAATAGACCACTGATACCTATGAAGTAGCAAAGAAGGAGGGAGGTCATCAGAAACTTAGTTGCCAACAACGATGGGAGGAGGATTTATTGGCTTGCTGGGATGGAACAGACTGGGAGAAAGTGTGGTCCTCGCCAGCTAATAACTCGAATGTCTTTAACATTCGGCTTCAATTTTTTAAATTGTTCTCGAGGTGGTACATGACACCGTGTAAATTACAGAAGATAAACATGAACAGTGATCCACGCTGTTGGAAAGGTTGCGGGGAGGTTGGTACCTTTATTCACTGCTGGTGGGCATGTCCACGGATGAGTAATTTTTGGGAGGACGTTCGGAAGGAGATCGCTGACATAACTTCGATAGATCTTAGTCTTAAGCCTGAAGTGTTTCTGCTGAACTACTGGGATAATGATATGGATGCTAGGAACAGGGAAATTATCTCAATGCTTCTGGCTACAGCGCGTTTGACATTAGCGTCATGTTGGAGGTCTCCTCATCCTCCAACGATAGCAGCCTGGCATGAAAAAATATGGGATCAATTTGTGATGGCTAAGATAGCAGATAAAGTACATAGAGCTCAAATTTTACGGTCCTCTAACCTCAAATTTGAATCAACCTGGTTCCCGATATTTTCATTTCTTACTTCACGGGGCATATTGCCAATAAATACCTGTTACCAAAAATGGGTTCTGATGTAACATACTAAGAGTCAAAATTTAAAGGATGCTTTCGTTATTTGTTATTATTATCTCTGGGCTTTAAGTTCAAAAATACCTGTACTGTAACTCTTTTGTAGGAATGTCGAGTGTTTATTATTGGATTCTTTGCATGTTCTTGTTTACTTTGTTATGAAAAATGAATAAAGAGAAATAAAAAAAAATGTCAGAGTCCACAGAAACCTCATAATGGATGGGATGCTGATAATATTTCACTATTTATGTGTGATCCCTTGTTTACTGACTTGTCAGTTTGCTGATCCACAACTGTAATATGGTGGAATATTACACCTCATGAATTCCACCTGTCTGTTGTAGCTATAGCTTGAGGGAGGATTCCTAAGTAAGGAAGCATATATGAGTTAGAGTTCTTAATTTTAAGGTGTCTACAGATTTTAAGTCCTTCAGCTTAATCATGATTAGTGGAACAATTGTTTCAAGATCCTATGCTTTTTTGTAGTCCCTCCACATTTCCTATTGAAACATTCAAATATCTTCAGATTTCATATCGTGTTGTGATAGGACATACTTTTGATACTTACAGTATTATTGTAAAAGCTTTGCACCAAGATCAATTGAGTTGGTTACCCAAGTCTGGTGGGTGTGTGGATTACATTTAGCAATATTGGTAGTTAAAGACCCAAGTTAGGACGTGTAGTGGTGAAAATTGTGTGCTTTAAGTGAAGTCCCTTGTATTTATTTTTTGCCCCTATTTAGCACACTTCAAATTTACTTCATAAGAACATAAGAGAAGCCAATGTTGGATCAGGCCAATGGCCCATCTAGTCCAACACTCTGTCACACAGTGGCCAAAAATATCAGGTGCCATCAGGCGGTCCAGCAGTGGGGCCAGGACACTAGGAGCCCTCCCACTGTTGCCCCCCCCCCCAAGCACCAAGAATACAGTGCATCACCTGCCCCAGCCTGTGAGTTCCTATCTATACCTTGTGGCTAATAGCCACTGATGGACCTCTCCTCCATATGTTTATTCAGTTCCCTCTTGAAGCTGTCCATGCTTGTAGCCGCCACCACCTCCTGTGGCAGTGAATTCCATGTGTTAATCACCCCTTCCAGCTGAGTCTGAAGGGGTATTGGATGGTGTTGAACATGTTAGAGCCAGTAGTGAGCTGAATGTGAATTACTAAACTGAGTCTGAATCCAGACAAAACAACAGTGTGATGCACAGGGCAACATTCTTCTGCCTAAAATGTTTTTTGTTTTTGTTTTTTAATTTTGAAATGTTTATTAAGATCAAGTAAAGTCAGTGAGTCAGTTTTTAGCATTCCTTTAAAGGTGCATGCTCCCATGCTGTGCCATGGTGAGCAGCCCACCGAAAACAAGCCTTGAGAAACCCAGAGGAGGGGAAATGCCCATGGCTGATTGGGCAGGGAGGAAGGGAGGGGGGGGTCGGTGCTGGGCTAGGAGGCAAAAGGGGGGTCGGGATGTGCTAGTGGTGGCAGCTGCCACGAATGGAGGGTGGTGGCTGGAGGCGATGTTGGCTGCCTGGCAAGGAGGCAGCGGCTGCATGCTGAAGGGAGCTGGGTTGCAAGGCAGCTTCTGGTTGCTGTGAGGAGGTTTGGCGGGAATTTAGGAGGGGATCTTCCAGCCACCTCTTGCCTTGTGGGCAGCTGCTGTGGAGGAGTAAACCCTGTTGGTGGCATCTGAGGAGAAAATGGTCAGCTTGGGGCTCTGGCCACACAAGGTTGTTGTGAGGGAAGAGGGAAGCAGCCATGGCAGCCCCCTTCTCCTTTTCTCCCCTGCCGCCTTCCTACTTCTCCCTGGCCCTGAATGGCTTTGAGTTCCCCCTCCTGGTCTCTGCTCCTTTGTGTGGCCTTCCTCAGGAGTTGATGGAGTTTCCTAGTTGTCTGTAGTTTGGGTAGGAAGTCAGTTGCTGGCTGCCGTGCTTTCCCCTCCACGAGTCACTCGGCGCTGCCCCTCAGCCCCAGCAACTGGGAAGGCATCTGCCACTCCTGGAAGGAAGGCGCTCAAGCCATAGGAGGCATGTTACCTTTAAAAACAAAACACAGATGTTACCCCAAGCCTCCTTAAAACTCTGAAAGCCCCTATGGTATAGCAGAATATTTTGTATTTTCCTGTGAACTATCTAGGGAACTGGCTGAGAGACAGTCCAGAAATATTTTAAATTAAAATACGTATTTTCTGCCGAATGAGATGGGTAGCTGACAGAGCTATATACAGTGTTTCCGACACTATTTCTTAATGTCCAAAATTAGTTTTAATTAGGAAGGAAACATGCACACATGCAAGACTCTCTGTGCTGTACAGGAATTGTCTAATCTGCTGAGGTATCATTACATAAATTCCCAAAGACCCAGTGAAAGAAAAACAGTTGAGTTTCCTTTCCTTTCCACTTCAGTGTGTTTGTGGCCTCTGCATTCCTGAACATCTTGACCTGTGAATCAAATGGAGGAGTTGCATGTTTCCCTTGGCTTTGTCACTGGCTGTTGAAAGAAACATTGGAAGCACAACAAGAGCATGAAGGGGTTTCTGAGATCTCTCAGGAGAGGAAACTTTGCAGGTGCCAAATTACCCATCCTTTATATAGTTAGAGTAGCTCTGAAAACATTTACTGGCATCTTACGAAGTCAAAGTTTGTTATTTGTCTTCTGAGACTTCTGAGACTGAACATACAGATTAAAGTAGCAAGTATGAAGACGGCCTCCAGATCAAAATGGAATTCTGGCACATGGAGATACCTTGCTTTAAAAGGGTGGGGAGAGAGAAACTCTTACTGCTTAGGAAAATAGCAGTACTATGAAACTTCCAGAGGTGAATAATACCCAAGTTCTGCTCCTGCATTCTTGTGAACTCAGTGTGTATTCTAAAATGTTTATAAAATATGCTTGACTTTTTTTAACGTAGTCATTATTAAATATCATTGTGCAGCATCTCATAGATTGCTAAAGCTTTTAAATGGTAAGTTTATATACATACAGAGTATTCTGAAAACCCTCATAAACACAAAACACCGTTGTGTGGTGGGCTGCAGTGAGAAGGTGGAATCTTGCAAAATTATTCCCCTCCTTCCACCAGTGGAGGAGGAGCAAGTTCTCTAACAAGGGAAGATGGAGGAGGTGATCTTGTCTGATTTTTCTCATGCCCTGACTGAAACTCTAGAGTACTATAAATATAAACTATTCACTGGGCAGTTCTTCTTTGGTTTTTTCTTGAACACTAAGATTAGCCTACATTCAGTGCTCTGTTCTAACATAAAGCATTGTAACCTGGAGGAAGTACTCCTTGGCTCCTGCAGCAAGTAAAATGGAGTTCAAATTGGCTGAGACCATGACCTTGGTTATTGAGAAGCAGTTTCTCCTTTTCTGTCCCTTGCGTATGAAAGAATAGAAATTGGTGTGAGCCGAAGACCTTTGAACAGTTGCAAGTGGAGAAATTGCAGGAGCAAAGATCATAAAATATGAAGGCAGAGATAAGTTGGTACATGGAAAGCCAGGTGGCACAGGGAGTGAGCAAAAATCTAACTCAGCGTTTTAAGGAGGGATGTCACATAGAATGATGAGAAAGTAGAATGACTTGGCAGCAGCATTCCGAATATGAGTGTGTGCTAAGGTATGAAAACAGAAACCCAGGTAGGAAAAAAAGTTTCTGTAACCAAGATGACACAAGCATGAAGGGGGGGGTGTTTGCTGAGGAGACAGAAAGGAAGGGCGATATTTTTAGTGTG